GGCTATCGAATGGTCTTTGTCAACTAAAGCATACTTCTTTTTCTTTTTTGGTTATTGGTTCATGAACCCGAAACCTTTTCCCAAGTCCCAAGTTACAGTTGTGTGGTCTGCCAGGAAAACACCAAAGATCCATTTAGCCGGAACTGTCCTTTTGTAGAACAGTGTTTGGATGTCAATCTGCCTGTCGAGACATAGATGTATCTCCCATTTGGATGAAATTCACAACTCAAGTCTGCTCTTCGAAGTCTTTTTGCAATGGAAATTCTGTTGTTAGCAGTTTGGGCATCTTGATGACCAAAAATCTTCTCATCTTCAAAAATGAAAGACCCTCAATTGAGACTCTCCTTGTTGAAGATCAGGTATATGTCTTTGCAATGCCACTTCAAATCATCTGTTTGAGAGTACAATTACGTTTTCTAAGATGCGATCCGTGATTGGATTCAGGTGGTCCTTTGGAACAAGTCTGCTAAGTCTTTAACCACTTGTTGGACTACCTCCATATCAGTATAACAAATTACATTGTAGGAGGTTATAGAAAAAATACATCTCTTTCTAAAAATACCAACTACCCATGAATTCGAAGGACACCATGAGACAAGATGTTGTAGTTGTAAAGTAGGGTCTAGTATATTGTCCTTGTACACATATTTGTATACGTATGTAATTGTGATCATCTATATATTGAGACGTGAGGCTGGATGTCAACCACCCACGCAAAACCCTAAACCTTGTATTTTCAACTTGGTATCAAAGCTCGTCTTGTTGCTCGTGGTTTCACTCAATAGCACGGGATTGACTACGTAGATACTTTTAGCCCGGTGGTGAAGCCTGCCACGGTTCGCTTGGTTTTGTCTCTTGCCGTGTCTCATGGCTGGAGCCTCTGACAGATTGATGTGAGCAATGCCTTTTTACATGGGTTCTTGGCCGAAGATGTGTACATGTAGCAGCCACCTGGGTTCAAGGATGCCACTTATCCCTCTCATGTCTGCAAACTTCAGCGGTCTATTTATGGTCTCAAGCAGTCGCCCCGTGCCTGGTATGCTCGTTTGAGTCAGCGCTTTTCGCAGCTCAGTTTTGTTGCTTCCAGATCAGATGCATCTCTGTTCATCTTCTCTCAGCGTACTATACAGATATACATGCTGGTGTACGTTGATGATATTGTGATTGCTGGCTCTACCCCCGCCGTGGTGGATCGTCTTGTGCAGTCGTTGTCTGCTAGCTTTCCCATCAAAGATTTGGATCGCCTCGAGTACTTTCTTGGTTTGGAAGCGTCCTTTCATTCAGGGGGCATGGCCTTGACGCAGAAAAAGTATGCGTTGGATCTTCTTCATCGCGTCAACATGGAGAACTGCAAGGACACTTCCACTCCGCTTGCTACATCCGAGAGTCTCTCACGTCATAGTGGTGCACTACTGGGTAGAGATGACTCCTTTCGGTATCGCAGTGTGGTTGGGGCACTTCAGTATTGGACCCTCACTCGTCCTGATATATCCTTCGCAATGAACCAAGTGTGTCAGTTCCTGTCTCAGCCAACGGAGGATCATTGGGAAGCAGTCAAGCGTATTCTGAGATATGTCAAAGGTACCTAGACATGGGACTATGGATTCGTAAGTCCAGATTTACTGGAGTGAGTATATTCACCGATGCAGACTGGGCAGGCTGTGTTGATGATAGGCGCTCCACTGGTGGTTTTGCTATATTTGTTGGACCTAACCTTGTATCTTGGAGCTCGAAGAAGCAACCCACAGTTTCGACATCAAGCACCGAGGCAGAGTATAAGGCATTGGCTAATGGCGCGGCTGAAGCCATTTGGATAGACTCAGTTCTCACAGAACTTGGAGTCCCACGGCAGCGCACTCCTATATTATGGTGTGATAACTTAGGGGCAACTTACCTGACGGCGAATCCAGTGTTTCGTGCTCGGACTAAACACATTGAGATTGATTTCCACTTTGTGAGAGAACGAGTAGCTACTTGTGAACTGGAAGTCAGGTTTATTTCTACAGTCAGTTAGTGGATGTATTTACTGAACCCGCTACTAGACAGATGCTAGACCGTTTTAGAACCAATCTGAATCTTGTATGTAGTTCAGATTGAGTGGGCATGTAAAATAGGGTCTAGTATATTGTCCTTATACACGTATTTGTATACGTATGTAATTGTAATTGTAATCATCTATATATTGAGACGTGAGGCTGGATCTCAATCACCCACGCAAAACCCTAAACCTTGTATTTTCAACCGTAGTATGTAGAACGGAACCTAGACATACAAGTATAGAACTACATACACAACCAAGAACCGAGTTTATTCACTTATGTGCCATCTTCTCATATCACAATTTTTTTTCGCTGGTTCTCAAATCACAGGTTCATAAACCACATCACACACCACACATCCATCTTGCCTCTTTTCTAGGCAGAACATAGATATTATTTCTTACAAATGACACAAACTAAGATATTAAATGTCACTTTTTTGTCCATCCAGCAAATTCCTCACGATTAGGGGAAGCCCATACCTAGGTGCCAGTGTGATGAGGTTCCTGGGCATGTGAACATACTGGGAAGAGAGGGAGAAGGAGAATCTTCTCAGGATCAACGTCATCACGGTCTGCACCTCGATCATGGAATAGTTCCTCCCAGGGCACGCACGTGGCCCGCATGAGAAGGCCAACATTGCATATGTGTTGTTGGTAGCCCCCAAGACGCCTTTCTCAAACCTCATGGGGTTGAACTCGTCGGCATCGAGGCCCCAAATCTCCTTGCTCCGGTGCAACATCATGATCGGAATTGTTATCATGGTTCCTTTTCGAAATTTGATGTTTGCTAATGTTGTGTCAGACGCGGTCTTCCTCAGCAAGAACGGCACAGGACTGTAGAGCCTCAGTGTCTCAAGAAGGAACATGCTAAGCTGCATTGACATATATGCACCAAGATATCAGAGAATTTATAAGACATGAGTCAAAGTATTATGTCTTATATGAACATACTAGCTTCAGTTTGCCAAGGACTTGGATGCTATTGCTATTGGGGGCGTCGCCATCATCATCCCTGCATTCTCTCAGCACTTCTTTCCTGAGCTTCTCTTGCCATTCTGGGTAGATGCTGAGCAAGAACATCGCCCAGGTGAGGAGGGTTGCACCTGAGTCCTGCCCAGCGGCGAAGATGGTCTTGCACTCACCGATCATCTCATCGTAGCTCAATGATTCAACTTCTTTTAACTTGTACGCCTGCAGCATCAACCCGAGTAGGTCGTCTCCGCCGACACCACTGGCAAGCCGCTCCTTTATGAGCTGTGTTATATTGCTCGTCGCCGACTTGTCAAGTTTCCATGCCCTAATGTTACGGGGTGTGGGCAGGTATCTGTATATAAAAACAAAATTTAGCAAGATATATAGTGTTATATGGCTGCCAGTCCAATGCTTATTAATGTGTGGTTTTGATAAATCTAGCATCTCGACTATATAAATCTACAAATATTATACCTAAATCCGGGTATTTGAGGATCCGCAAACGCATATACCGCGAGCTTCTGGCCCTCCTTGCCCGCGACAAACACCTCCCGGGATTCTTTGCTGTTTTGGCCGAAGATCACCTGTTCAATGACTCCTAAAGTCAACTCTTCAGCGTAGCACCTCATGTCTATCTCGGCTTGGTGGCCGTCACCCTTTTCTATTTGGTTGCACCATTGCGCAATCATCTTTTGCGTGCCTTCCCTTGTCATAGCTGACACAGACTACGCATAGGATAAACCACCAAAAGTAGGCTATTTAGTCCAACAAAACAGACGGCTAAAATAAACTTGGTACTACGTTCATTCGTTGTAGTACTAGGCAACAACCTTGAGGCTCTCGTGGTTGAAGATCGGGTATACGACTCTGCGGTGCCGTTTCCAGTCATCGCCGTTTGTGGTCACAAGTCCTTTGCCGAAGATGCGTTCCAAGATTGGATTCAGGTAGTCCTTTTGGAACAACTCTGTCTTGTCTTCCAGTACTTGCTTGACTAGCTCCAAGTCGGTAGAATATATTGTCGGTGTTGGTCCCAACCAATACAGAAATGTTTTCCCTAAGTAGATACCCACACCTTTATATGAGGGCTTAATTAAATGATACTAGTACTATATGATGAACAACCAGTCTTTCAGATGATAAAAAGTGAGAGACATTTCATGCATTTACCATAATCGGCGGCCCATTTGTGAAAGAAAGGATTGACGCGGGAGGTGTAGTCGTGGCTGCCGATATCCAGAGGCGCCTTTGTCCTCTCGGCAACCAACATCTGTTTCATCTCCCACAAGGACCCAAGGACGAATCTGTAAGGTGGCCCTCGTATCCCCTGCCGTTCAAACCAGCCGGCGACGGCGTACGGCCTCCATACCAGATGCCACAGGGACCTCGAGATCAGCCAGAGAATAAGGATGGCGGCAAGGGTGTGTACCATTTCTACCAGGGTCGCCTCCATGGATATACTCCCTCTAGTCAATGGTGAGTTTTATTCAACTCTTGGATCGTGGCTAACTATATAGGCTCGACGTGTGTCACTGTCCCGTCGTTTCCGGCTGTGAAGTAAAGTTGATCTGTTGGAGCTTCATATATGCCATAGTGATATTTCGGGAAGTGTCTTATAATTACATGCATGCGAGGAAATAGCCACCATGTGATTTGAGTGTTGAGTTGGTATCGGTTGCTTCACTTTCGCACTCATAATATAACTTTAGGCTTTTATTTTTTATTTTTTCCAGAATCTAACTTTAAGTTATAGGTCTCTGCCAGCGAACAAAGTGAACGTGTTGTTAAAATGTAATATGACCATTTTAATGAGAGTCAATGCATTTCATTTTGTCATTATTGACCTAAGATATTATGTGACAGAAGATAAGATGAAACACTTAGTTGTAAACTTGTAATAGTCCCTACTAAAGTTGTACTAAAGCAGTGACAATTAATATGGACCGGACGGAGTATTACATATTGTTTTAACGTGCATTTTTTATTTTGGTTTTGAAGATATCTTACACAAATTCAGACACCACTGAGTCAATATTCGCATGAAAACTCATTTTGTAGTGGATAAAATTGCCGTTTTTATTTATTGAAACCAAATGATAGCATGTACTTGGATAAGTAAGACTACAACAAAGATCAGCTGCCAACAGAAGTCGTTCAGAATACTATAGGTTATTACTTGGTGCAAACTTGCATGTCTATTCTGCCATTGATCACGAACCATGCATATTTTCTATAATTACTTTTCTGGTTCAATCTTGGTCGCAAATTTTAGAAGCATTTTTGCCATGTTTGCATAAAGCAAAGCAAACATGAAACACAAATAACGAGATGCTGAACATGTGTTGGTCGAGAAGGCAGCAGAGGTGTCCATGTCGGTGCTGTTGTCACCCACGCCATAGACCGTTGTCGGAGTGGTTGCACGCTGTCTAGAAAGTAATCCGTCACTTGGGCGCAATTGTCCACAGACACGTCGCCCCCCATTGGATACAGGTTCTCAAGAACAAAACGGGCAACCCAGAGATTCTTTCATGTTTGTGTAACTTGAAGAGGATGTGAAATATGTAGAGCCTTTCATAGCTGTGAACTCTGATGGCATAGATTTTAGGTATCCATTTTTATAAGTTCGTATAGAACCAAAACACGGAAACTATATAAGAGCGTCAAGTCGCATCCAGAAGAATCGAGGTTTATGTCCTGCTTCTGCAACATCAAGAGGAATTAAGCTAACAAGACAATCAGTTAAAAAAATAACATGAAAAAGGAAGAACCTCCAACACCCTCAACAAGGGGGTTGAGATCCTCTGCAGTATCGTATGGTGCTGTAGTGTGGATGACACGTGGGGTCAGGTCCCACATGGTAGTGACTGTACAACACCGTACAGTACTGCAGAGGATCCTAACCCTCAATAAGGTCATGATGCCCGTGGGCGCCGCCATTGTTATGTAATAGCAACGATAATTTTTTTTAGGGAAGGAGGATCATCCCCGGCCTCTCCATCTGGGCGATGCATGCAGCCATTTATTAATTATTCATCAAAGATCTTATAAAGAAATACAACAATAAGTCTGAAGCCACCGTCTATGCGACAACTGTCGCTACTCCTATCCAGCTGATAAAGGGATGCTGATAGTCCAGGCCTAATACGACATACCTCGGAGACTTACCTAACATCTAAGACCTGAGGCCCCAACCAAGCCACTTGCCGGGTATGGGCACACACCGGTCCGGCGCGCTCTCAGATGCGTTGCCGCCAACTGCCACCACTCCATCTTCAGATCTGTACTAACGCATCATCCTTGCCTGGTCTAGCTGCCGTCAACGCCACCACGGTGCCCAACGGCACCACCACCCTGCGCGCGAATTGCTCAGCATGTTGCGGTCGCGGCTGGTACACCTCAACACCATGCCGCCAAGTACCACCAGCCGACACAGCTTGAAATCTCTGGAAGATCTGTCGTGCGTAGCACCTGCCGACCAGACATGACAAAGCGTAGCACCTGTTGGTCAGGCATGACTTGACATCTCCATCGAAGCTCCGTGCAAGACGAAGCTGCACCACCTCCTGCCTCTGACCACCAGCACTGCTCCAGAAACAATTCTCCCAAGAGAGAAACACCACCGTAGTGTCGCCATCGTCCGATCTGGAAGATCAGATCCTAGGGTCCCCCCCAGAGCAGTATGAGTGGGTTGACATAAGTCATATAACGATGCCTTCATTAAGGTAACGACGTAGATCACCGCCATCGCCCACCGTCGGCTCGGTTTTCACCAGCAACTATGTCTCCATGACTCGCAGCCAGTACTGGATCATAGATCCGGAGCTCCGGACACCCAGCCTCGGGCCGACCACCTCTGACGGAACAGATGACCACCACCGCCTGTTGCATCGGTCAGAACAGATCTGACCGGAAATGCCGCCGACGAGACCACCAGGCCCTCCATGGAGCCACCGCCGATCTGAAGGCAGTTTGCACGCCACCGCAGCCTAGCTGGCCGCCGCCGCCGCCGACCACAGCCGCCGCCCGAAAAGGCCGGCAGCTGCGCCCACAGCCACGCCGTCGTCCGAGGACGGGCCGGCCACCTGTCACCTGCCGCACCCATCCGTCGCGCCACAGAACCCAGATCAACCGTGCCACCACACGCCTAGGGGTCCCACCCCAACCCGGAGACGCGTGAGAGAGGAGATCCCCCGCCACCGTCGTCGGCCCCCGGGCTTAGCCCGGCAGCGGTGGAGGGAGAGGGGGAGAGAGTTTTTGGTGGCGGCGACTAGGTTTCTGGGAGTCGCCCCAGGGGTAGAGCGACGCGAGCCTACTGTATTGGTTGTTCTAGATTTTTCGGATATGTGTTGGTAGGTGCTTAGTTTTGAATTGTTGCCTTTGCCTAGCCTGGGCGTCTCAGCTCTTTGCTTTTGGGGGTTCGATCTATGAATGCCCAAAACATGAGCTGGTCCAGGTTTTAGATAATCTGCTTGCGCTTTAGCTTTTCTTTTGGGCAGTAGGTTGTAAGAAATTATGGTTTCATTTAAATGAAATTGGAGAGGATGTTGTCTTTATATCTACTATCTAAAAAAAACCTAAGGTTCCTTTTTTTTCTAGAAGGACCGCGTCCTGCCGAGCCTTTTGTCCATCCTCCCACCCCACGTCCAATCTCCACAAAAAAAAAAATTCGTCGCCCCTCTTCCCTCATATCTAAAATGTCGAGCCTTTTTGCCAGAAGAACCTAAGGTGTATACTATTTTTGTCTACACCGCATATCCGTCTTCTCACAAGAAAACCTAGGACTGCCTCGCCTAACTCTGCAGCTGCCGCACCGACCGACCGCTTCTGCGGTCGCAGTCCCCACTTGTCCTTTACTCGTTGTCGCTGCAACCCCGTGCCCTAGCCTCGCGGCATCGTCCATGTCTGCTGCCGCGGACGCCGTTCCCCTCCTCCTTGTTGTCCAGTGATAACCTACAAGTATAGGGGATCAGTTGTAGCTTTTTTGATAAATAAGAGTATCAAACCCAACGAGGAGGTAAAGGTAGAATCAATATTCCCTTCAAGTTCTATCGACCACCGATAAAAACTCTACGCACATTTAATGTTCGCTTTACCTAGAACAAGTATAAAACTAAAAGTACTTTGTAGGTGTAAAGAGATAGATTTGCAAGATAATAAAAAGTACGTAGATAAAAGTTAGGGGATGTTTAGATAAAGAAATAATTAAGTTAGTTTTAGTAGAAATCTTTTTTAACACAAGAGAAAGATTTGTCCATAGGCAACCGATAACTAGACCGGTAACCATTATTACAATTTTATATGAGGGAGAGGCATGGGCTAACATACTTTCCGTACTTGGATCATATGCACTTATGCAGGGGCGGAGCCAGGATTTGAACATGAGGGGGACGAGACACCATTGTTGACGCAAACGACATAATATCACAATATATTAAGTCTCATGATAGCATCACTGATAATACGTAAAATTATTGTTTGGAACTATAAAAATATATTATTATTAGTAATAATGTTGGAGCTTGAAGTTGAACCAATTGGTTTGAAAAAGAATTTACCCCATTTGTTGTTGATGTCTTCCGCTTCATCTTTGACTAGTACAAATAGATACATAATTACTAGACTAATTTACTATTTATATGAAACATTAATTAAGCAGATTAAGGTCGTAATTTATAAAAAAAAATCCCACTCCCTCTATTTTAAAATAATTGAAGCTCTAAATTTATTCTAAGTTAAACTTCTTCAAGTTTTGCCAAGTTTGTAGAAAAATATATCAATATTTGAAACACCATAGTTTTATTAGAATCTTTAAAAAATATGCACACTATGTATATTTAATTTTGTAGATCTTACGATATTTTTCTATAAACATGATTAAACTTAAATTAGTTTTACTTAGGACAAACGTAGAGCTACAATTATTTTAAAACAGAGAGAGTAATAACTACTATCAGTGTAATATACCTGCATCTATTCTGCTCACCCGAGATCTAGCCATATTTGATCCGCCTGCGTCGAGCCGTCCGCCCATGCCCATGCGTCGACAGCGTACTGCAGATCAGTGGTGGCCGGTGTCATTGTCGTGTCGAGTAGCGGCCAGCGGCAATGGCAAACACTCTAGACCCTAGCAGGACACGCTGACGGCAAGCGGCGACGGTGAAGAACGAGACCTCCTATGTGACGCATTTTGCGTCAAACAGCAGCTCGACGCACAGGGTTGACGCTTGACTGGGCCGGCCAACCAACCTGATCTTTCGTTTCCTTTCGCGCGCGACAAAAAGAGCTGAAAAACCACAGCAAGTACCAGGAATCGATCCCTCAACCTCCTACTCCAACCACGAGTCATTAGCCACTACACTACACGCCACCATCTAAAGATGAAAAGTGCAGGCATATATAAGAACAAACAGTAGCGTTGAGATTTGGAAAACATTTTGAAAATATTTCTTGAAA